TGCGGTGTCCTTAACACTGTGTCCTCACGCTGTGTCCTCACGCTGTGTCCTCACGCTGTCCTTGCTAGGTCAGAACGGCTTCCTGTTTCTCGGAACTGCGCATTCGCCCCGCCTCGCGTGGCGAGATGAGATGCGCTTCCTGCCTCTTCTTCCCTTCCGCCTCCCCTCACGTGGGGAGTTGCAAAAGATTAAACAGGAAAAAGACCAAAATTTAGTGAGCGGGCAACACACTGAGGCTTTGCTTTAGTCCTCTGGATCTGGGCAGAACGTGAGGACCTGAGCCTGAGGCCTGGACACTGCCACTGCTCCAGGATGGAGCTGGGGCCCTGGGAGCAGGCAGCGGGCGCAGAGACGGAGGAGTCAGGATGCCAGGGAGAGATAAGGAGAGAAAAATCCCAAATGCCCCTTCGAAGTAGATGCTACCTGGACAGAAAGATGACTCTGGCTGGAACGAATGGCGATGGCGAATAGCCTTCTCTGTCACGGAGCGGGCCCATTACAGACACAACAGAGTCACCCGCGCTGACCGCAAAGGAAGCGTGGGCGCCTTCCTAAGAGGCCTCCGAGAGGCAGGGCAGCTGAGGGCTTAAGGGCCAGGACCCTGAAGCCAAGCCGCCAAGACAGCCATTGCGGCTGTGTGCCCTTCGTCACACTGCTGAGTCTCCGTTCTAGATCTCCTCCATCGACGTGGGATGACAGTGGCACCTGCCTCGTGGGGTTCTCCTGGGAGCTGAATAATGTAACACAGGAAAGGGCCTAGGACAGCTCCTGGTACGCGCTCATTCGATGCTAGCTGTTACTAAGACCAGAGCTGGCAGAACCCAATGACCTACTTTGGCGACCAGAGGACACATGAGTTAGTTGGCTCTGGGCCTGCTCGCCCTCCTGACTTCTTCCTGGGTGAGATAAGAAGTTTCTTTTGTTTCTCACAGGGTACAACAACCAAAGGCCTTAGTGGCTCAGGGGGTGCCAGCTGGTGGCAGGTACAGCCGAGCACAGGAAAGGGTTCAGTTGTGCCTGACAAGGAGGAACAGCCTCACTGGTGGAGGAAGGGACCACCACGCATTGAGCATCGTATGCCAAGGGCTTCACTTATGTTATTCTCATTCAGCCTTGTAGCCACCCTGATAGGCAACTTTCGTGGTCTCCACTTCAGAGATAAGGAAGCACAGCGCAGGGAGAGAGATGCCTGTCCAAGACCACCTGTAGGAAGCCGCAGAGGCTGGATGTGTGCCTGACGCCCACAAAACCCCTCTGCCTCCTAGGAGACCGTGAGAGCAAAGGGCTTGAGGATCAGCGAACCCGAGAACCAGTCAAGGACATGCCCAGGCAAAGGCACAGAAAAGGAGCCAAATGAAAAGCAGGGCCCAAGAGGGTGAAGGCAAGTGAGGTGTGTGCAGGGCCCAGGGTGCCCGCCGAGTGGAGCCTGAGTGCAGATTAAACCGGGAAGGGACCGCAGGAGCCTGAGGTCAACGCCCTGAGGCCCCCCCGCCACCCCCGGGCTTGAGGAGCCGCCTCTTCCCCAAACGCAGGGCCCCATGGGATCAGACAGCAGCCCCCGCACGTGAAGTGGGACTGCAAACACCAAAAGACGGAGAGATAGGACCTGGAGACCATCTGACCTTCCCCTCGACTGATGGAGACGATGAGACTCAGAGAGCCGGAGGGTTTGGCCGGCAATGAGCACGAACGTGAACACACGCTGGAGGTGTAAGTACATGCGGAGAAGGGAGAGGCGGAGGAAGCAGCGGTCAGACCAGGCTCACTGCGGAAGGAAACGATTAGGGAAAACAAACACCGGGGTTCGGGCAGTGCGGGGCTCCAGCTGTGACTTATTGGTTGGTTTAGGAATGAGGGAACACCTGCCCATCTAGCAAAGTCTGGCTCCCAAAACTCAGAGGCACTTGCATGCGTTCTTGGCTCTAGGAAGCCACGTGGACTTACACTTAAAACATGCTTTCATTCCCAGACCGCAGTGATCACCCAGTAACGACCGCGCGTGTCCGAAGGGCCCCCTCCAATGACTGCCAGCTATTCCGTCTCCACGCTCCGCGTGGACCACGTGCAGGACTAGAGTCTTCAGGGGAAACACGCTGCTGCACACAGCGAACAGCCGAGGAGCAGACCTGGTTTCTGCAGCCCGTGCCGGGGTGGGAGGGAAGGGGGCAGACGCGACTGTGCGCCCACCCGCACGGAAAGGAAGCCGCGGGAGGGAACGTGATAACAGCTAGCGGCCAGGCGCTCTACAGTGGATGTTCTTAACCACACGACAGCACTTCAGGGTGGGTATTATCATCCCCGCTAACAGATGAAGAGACGCAATGACGAGGACTTGCCCAAGGCCACCTGGCTGGTAAATGGCAGATCGCCAAGGCAGAAACCTACATCTGACTGAGTCCCAAGGTCAGTCTCGTCCCTCTTTACCTGCCTGTCCGGGCTGCCCTGGGATGTCGAGTCATCTTAATCCCCCGTTCCTCAGACTTTTACCGTCACCTTTGTGCTCTCACCAGAAGTCGCATGAAAGCTGCACGGGTTGAAACTCGCTGTTAATCAGTGAGGGGGCTCCTCCCAGGGTGGGGGCTGGGATAAAAAGGGCTCAGAAGAGAGAAAGGCTGTTGGTGGAGTTCCGTTCAGCTTTGCTCGACGAAGCCTTGTTTTTGGCGGTTCCCGGCCCTGGCGCGTGCCCCTGCACGCCACACTAGCTGTCATGCTGCATTACGAATTCATAACGGTATTTATATGGATTCATAAACCATTGACTTCTCCAGGAGAATTTCATGGTTAACACGTTGTGAAGAGACAAATGAAGGACATATACCATCGATATTATCGATCCTGTTACGTATTTCTTTTTTGTATATATAAAAGAATATTTTAATCCTTGTCCGTAGAAACTATAAGGAGACATACAGGATTTGGAAATGAGACAGCACCAAACACTGGTCAAAGAAGAACCGCCCACTGTATGCCTTCTTTTTCATCAGGTCTCAGAAATATAATGTTATCAGTTGCCTACTGCTGCCTGTCGCCTCACGTTATTTTTATCCGTGTACTCACCATAGTCTACTTTCCCTTCCGCTTAAATTCGAGACCCCTTCTTCACATACGTATGTGCCACATCTCTGAGGCCTGGTCAGAACGCTGAAATTCTGTGCCACGTTGTCTTTTGACCAACATCACCCATTTGGTATGCTTCATTTTCTCCGGATTTCCATATCTCATTTGTCACTAGAGAAAATATTGTGACTGGGATTTTCCCTTCCACCTGTCTCATGACAGGGTCCTGATCCACTCACCCAAGTAGCTGCACAGGAGTCAGAGATCTTTCGAGAACTGAACTCGAGAACCCTCGCTACTTCAGACTCATGTCTTACAAACTGATGAAGCACCTGTAATACAGGGCTTCGAAACATGGCTTCTATGTGTCTTTTCCTACAATGTAACCTTTAGCACAGGACTCATGCTTTCCCAGACCCCCTGTTACCTATTTCTCACAGGGTAACAAATAGACCACAATAGAAGAAGCAAATAATTATACCAGGTTCCCACTGATATAAACTACAGTGAAACTAGATTGTTAGGAGCACATAATGCTAAAACATTAGCACACTAAGACGAACGTTCTGGTGTTCATGGCGTCAGCCAGGAAAATTCAGACAAACATTTTGTGGATTTCTGGCTATTTTTGATTTCCAAATGTATGAAAATCTCAGAAGAGTTCAAAAAGGAAAGAAAATTTGTCACATTTCAAACCAACATATTGAATCAAATAAATTAAACCATGATTCTCAAACTGCTCGTGTAACTGACAGGTTCAAATGCATTTTAAAAAGGGGTCTGATTCCAACCCCTGAATGCCATAAACATGTCCTCCCTCCGGAGCCGTGCGCTGGGACATCCAACCGCCATCAGCGAACAGGAACAAAGCTGCACGCTCCCTGTCTACACGCGCACTGCGGCTCTCCCGGCTCCGCACTCGGCACCCACCCCTTTGAGTTCTCCCTGGGTATTTGGCCCGTGCTGCTCTTGACTGAAAAGCAGTCGTTTTCTCTTTCTAAAGAAAACCTTGCTTCGGTCTCAGACAAAAACAGGAAGACAAGCCCTACTAATGGTGATCTCAAGTTAATACAAAAGGAATTCATATCCCAGGACTTCTGCTGGCGTCACCTGAAGAGCTGCCACCTGAGGCGTCGAAGCCATCTGGGGGTGGGCTCTCACGTGGGCTTGTGGTGAGAACTGTTCAGTCAGGCGACTCTGACACAGAACAGACGACAAGACGCGGCCCACTTCACATCACCTACCTCTGCCAACAACCACGTCTGACGAAGGGTGGGGGGAGATTTGTTGTTTTTAAAGATCTCTATTACCTTTTCTCCTATTTGGATTTCAAGTTCTTTCAACGTCCGACGGCAACTTATTTCATTTCCACTGCCCCTTAAAAACAAAAATAAAAACTTTTTGTTAAAGTGTTTTAACCAAAAAATGTTTATATAGGACATGCAGCAATTAAATTATACGGTTTTGAAATCACATATTTTTAAATGCAAGGTATTTCCTGTGCACTATCATCTGCCAGAAGCGCGAGCTTGGGCCAGTTACCTAGCTTTCAGTTGGCTAGCTCCCTCATCGGAAAAACGAAATAGGGCATTTACTCCTCCTAGGGTAGGGCGGGACCCGAGTAAAGAGGGCCTGCGCTCAAGGAGCATCGGCCATGGCTGGGCCGCACCTCAGGCAATGCTCCAACAGCTCTGAGGGTTAGGGGCCACCATCGCCCTGGCCTGGGTCGGGTAGTGGAGGCGCCCGGCCCAGACCCCGGCGGTCTGGCTTCAGAGCCCGGCCCTCACCCCTCTGCTGCCGCCCTTCGTTCTGACCTCTGCGGGCTCCCAGGCCACTCGGGCACACTGTCAGTCACTTGTAAAGGACTTTATGGCCAATGTGTGTCTACACCATTATACCATTCCTTGGCCCCACCGGCTTTTTTTATCAACTATTTCTGATTGCGCATTGTCCACACACCCATAAAGTGCTCTGAGTCCCTCCTGGGAACAAGCACGCTGGGAGGGAGGAGGGCGTTCTGCTCCTCGGGCACAGCGCTCATCCAGCGCCTCCGCCCAGGCCCGGGCCGCAGCCGTGCCCAGGACACTGTTCCCAGTCTTGAAAAGGCTTAAGGCTAGTGACAGTGACAGCCAGGAAATAAGCGAAAAAGAAATGTGAGCCGAAGTACTAGCAGGTACCCTGAGAAATCGAAGGCGGGCACGGGGAGAGGCTAGTACTAGCAGGTACCCTGAGAAATCGAAGGCGGGCACAGGGAGAGGATGGGCACAGGGAGATGGGGAGGGGGCTCGACTTGCGGAAGGTGGGGTAGTGGTCATCTGGACAGAGGCTGAGGGGCCAGGGGCTGTCCGTTCGGGGAAGCGCTCCAGGCAAAGCTAAGGGGATTTACAGCAGCATGAAGCCCAGAGCAGGCAGGAGCTGGCACACCCCAGGGGTGCTACTGCGGGAGGTCGGGGCACCCAGAGCCCCACAGGCAGGCGGAGGAACACGGGTGAGTCCCGAGCGGAGGCCGACACCTGTAGGCAGTGACAAAGCATCCAGATGTCACAATGGGGTGAAGGGAAGCCCCCGGGCGTTTCACATGGGACGGGACTTCATTTTATAGAGGAGGACACTGAGGCTCGGGGCCCTCTTTACTTGAGTGCCACGATCAAGTTGAAGTTGGAGCCTTGCCAGGAATCCAATCTTCGGATTCTCTGTTAAATGTAATATTTTAATATTGTTTTAATTGTGTATTAAGTAGAAAACACAATTTGCGACATACGTTCAAGATTTAAAGGATAAAAATCAGGCAAAGGCCTGTGCACCCCACCATCAGCTGGAGAAATGGGGCAGTATCTGTGCCAGGGGAGCCCCGCTGCCCCCATCTCACCTTCCTCCCCAGATGGTCAAGGTCATCAGCCTGCAGGCACACGTGGCAGCTCCACTTCTCCCTCTGCCCAATCTCCAGCAGCCCTCCTCCCTTCAGTGTCTTCCCGCATCTGCACCCTGCACCCCAAACTCCGCCTCTGTGTCCGCTTCAGAACCAGTCTGTTATCCCATATTAACTTAGTGACTCGGCTTTCCTTAGTATTTATTGGAATGGTACGTCTTCTTAAGTCCTATCACTTTCATCCATTCTATCAACATGTATTTCGGTTCTTCTCTTAATCAATTTTACTATTCGTTTTCTCGTCAGTCTTTGTTTTTAAGTGGAACATTTATTATAACTACTGATACATTTAGGATTTCTGTCTGCCCTGCCCATTCTGCTCCTTCTTGCCTTCTTTTGGGGTGACTCCATTTTTATCATGCCACTTGTTTGCCTCTACAAGTTCGGGAGTTATTCGCTCCATTTTTCATCCCGCTAATGGTTGCTCTGGTCATTATAACCTGCATACTTTTTCGAAGTCTAAGTTAGTCAAAACTTTTATCTTCCTACTGGACAATCTAACAACTCTGGAATGTTTAATTCCAGTCCCTCCTCTCGATTTTAATATTACCACTATCGGGTGTTTTAATTATATCCTATGTTTAAAACAGCCGTCGGTGTCGCCTGCAGCCCTTAGTGCTTCCTGCAGTCAGCAGGCATCTCGAGTCCCCGAGGGCGCGCCACGGCCGTCCTGGCTCTCCGTTCCTTCTTGCGTCCTCTCAAACCCTCCACCTGGGATCGTCCCCTTGCACCTGAACTGGAACCTTAGAATTGCTTTACTGGGTCTTTTGGGGGCCAAACCTACTTTAGTTTCAGTGTGTCTTTATTTCAATATTGAAAATACTGAAAGATATTTTTACTGGGTACGCGATTCTAGGATAGCAGTGATTTCCTTTCAATGCATCGCAGCTATTAATCCACTCTTTTCTCCTGGCTTCTACTGTCACTGTTCAGAAGTCACTTTTTTTTTTTTTTTTTTGCCAGTTTATTTTTTTTTCATACTATATATACATAACTTTTTTTAGCATTTTATTTTTTTATTTTCCCCCTCCCCTCCCTTCTGGTAACCAGTAGTCCATTGTCCATGTCCATGAGTCTCTGTTTGTGTGTCCTGTTCATTTGTTGCTTTTAGGTTTATATCCCACGTATGTGATATGTGATTTTCAACCTTTTCTGGCTGGCTTATTTAGCTTAGTGTGATTATTTCAAGGTCCGTCCATATTGTCGTAAATGGCAATATTTCATCTCCTCTTATGGCTGAGTTATATTCCATTGTATATATGTACCACAGCTTCTTTAGCCGATCATCTATTGTAGGACACTTCAGAAGTCACTTTTGTCAAAATGTTGTCCCTTGGCTGCTTTTAAGATCTCTTTGTCTTTGGGGTTCTGCCTCTACCCCTGTTTTAAATCCTGCTTGAGACTGGCTTCTCGAATCCACAAGACAGACCTTTTGTAAATTCTGGAAAATCCTTGGCCATTGTTTCTTTGGCTGTTACCCCCAGTCCCATCTCTCATTCCTCTCTTTACCGTATTCCAAGTACATGTTCCATGTCTCTGTGCTGCTCTGACTAATTTTTTCTGACCGATCTTCCAGTTCACTTACTTCTTCAGCTGTGTCTAATCTGCTTATTAAATTCATTGAGCTTTAAGTTGTTATTATGAAATGTAACACATTTTCAGAAGAGTACATACAACATATATACACAGTTTAATTATAATTAAGACAAACGCCTCTTTAACAATTACCCAAATCAAGAACTGAAGCCTGGCACAGAAAGGCCCCCGTCTGGTCTGTGCCTCTCCAACCACGAGGTTCTCTCTCCTCCTGGAATTAACCACCACCCGAGCACCGAAGGTATCATTTCCTTTTATTTGGTTGTAATTTTTGCCACCTCAGTATGTATCCCTAAAAAATACAGGTCAACTTATCCTGTTTTAATTTACACGAAGAGATGTATTCTTTTGTTTCTTGCTCCTTCACTCAGTATTATGTCTGTGAAACTCATTCAAGTTTCTGACTATAGGTGTCATTTATTGGTTTTTCTATCCTTTATTAAATAAATATGTATTAAACATCTACTGTGTGCTAAACACCGTCCTAGGGGCTTGGGACACATTAATAATTGGCACAGATAAAGCCCTCGCAGTGCTCACATTCTAGATTGACTATTAACCTAACGGGTGTGGGAAGAGTGAGCTGTAGGGGAATGTGCTGCAGAAGAGGAAACGGCCTGTCAAAGACCCTAAGACAGGGACAACTAGAAGGTCAGTGGGTTCGGAGCACAGCAAACAAAGAGGACAACAGCAGAAGCACCCGTCGGGGAGGACGGCCAGGCCACAGAGGCCCTGTGGATCCATCTGGGATCGCTTGTCTTCTACCTTTAGAGTCTCTTAGACTTTCCTTTAGTCAAGATCTGTAGGACATGAGCAAGCTCTGTTTTTGTATGAAAATGTCTTTATTTCACCCTCAGTTTTTATTTTTTGGAAATGTTGCTTGCTGATTTAATCACGTATTTCATCTTCAGAAATTCGAATAAGCTGTCCAAATTCAATTGACTTTTAGAGGCATACAAATTCAAGACGAAATGCAGAAGGCTTCTTTTCTTTTGTATGAGTTCCTTTTCTGGAGTTTCTTTAGCAGCTTGTTT